TGGAAGATTAATTTCTACACAGACCATTTCTAGTTGGGCAGGGGCAAGATCATGTCTAGCTGAGCAAGATATATTCTCTTTAACATATATAGCCACACCTCCACCATGGCTATTTCGATCTTTTCTTATTATAACGTAACCGGATGTGTATTTCTCCGCCAGTGATAGTATCAAGTTTGGATTCATTAATAGCTAGCACTTCCAAGGGACTAGACATCAAAATATAGCGAATCTCATCAATATGTTTACATAAACTATTTATATTAATACAAGCAAGCTTAAAACCTTTGATGTTAGCGATGCTATGTAACGGTACTTTACCACTGTCCCCAGTAGAACCATGTTGGCTAAATATTTCTGTATTTTCCTGCAGGGTTATGTTAGTCTCAGGTTCCCTATTTTCATAAGCATTTCCCCCAGCTGTTTGCACAGAACCATTTGAAAACCCTTGTCCCGATCACTAGATCGTTTGCTGTTACAGCAAGTCCCCTTACAAATTTCATGAAATGAACCGCCAATAATGATGTTCCTTTATCGTTTAAATGCTGCTTGCTTTTATTCAAGCAAGTATTATCAATTTTTGAGTTATCTATATAAGAAAATTCGTGAATTACTGATAAATTTTTTAGTTTTTCATTAACTTCAACGCGTATTGGGTTCACTGAGACGTCTTCTCTATAGGTTAGTCCCGACACTCCGACTTTAGCATTAGGAAATTTATTTCTTACTTTCGTAGCCAAATTTATAATTTTAGTAGCACAAACCTCAGCAGAGTCGATGGGTAGATTATTTGTATACCACAATGGATATTAACATAAGATGGGTCAATCTTTGTCTGGGTATTGTCAACTAGCTTCACTAATTTTTTCACATGTTTTTCCGCGATAGGTGAATTTTTGCACCGTTCTTCGAGATAATTTATTTGGGTCAATGTGCTTTATAATCGAGTCACCAATTATTAGTATTGGTTTTCGCTCGTCAGGTTTTGAACTAAGATATGGAATGATCTAGATACAGAGCTGAAATCAATTAGTGATTTGAACAATTTTAAGACGAAACTTAAGACGATTCTTATTGAGAAGCGATGTCCTTCTTTTTAACTTTGTTTAACTCATAAACCACAATATATAGTACAATTTTAGTTCGCGTAATAACTTTGATAAGACTGTTGTAAATATATATAGTCGATAATTCCTTCTAAAATCCATGTAAATTGTCATTGAAAAGCCCATTTTAGGGAATGTCAATTAATAAATTCAAATTCAAATAAATGAAATACTTTACCGCTCAAAATTTCGTTTTTCGTTGGAATAGTGGGCAAATCATTCCATTCGCAGTTAGTTGTATCTACATCTTGACGTCCTGACACTGACTTTGCCAATATCTGTCCAAGATGCACCGAAAATTCCACACCTTGACATTCCGAGCTGTCTTCGACAGAATTTTCTCCACTGCTAATCATATGCATGGTTTTGGCTAATTGTTTCGCCACGGTCCATGTTTTTGATGCAGTCTTCGGCGAATACGCCATCATTAATTCCAGGAGTGACTTTAATTTGTTGCTATCGTCACTGCTAAAATATAAATAACAACCAAAGAGAAACACTTCAAAAAATTGCTTGAAATAATAACAATCACAACCATGCATTGGTTTGGTATTTGTTAATACGTTCGTTCACAAGGCTTACATAGATC